TTTAAGTCACGAAATACAATTTTGTTTTATGATTATTCAATATTGATATTTAATAAATTTAATAAACGGTTGATTTTAATATATTATTACCATATCAACAGGATATTACACATAAAAATATTTTTCAAATAAAAGAATTTCAAACATCTAAATAATATTTGATTGAGTATAAAATCGAACCATTTTATCACAGTGAAAATAATTAAAATACTGGGATTTATTTATACATTTAAAAATTCTAAAGATCTACTAGTTACGCAGACGGGAGACATGACTTATTTAGTGCCCATGTTGCGTTTCCATCTTTAATCTGCGTGGGCGCATATTTCCAAGAAGAAATTTCTTGCTGTCCGTACATAATGCTGGCAAGAAAACAGAAGTAATAATGTTAGCCATACTTATACGGTGAAGAAGTCCGTAAATGAATCATCGTATATGCGTGCCTCGTCAGCAGCGCAAAAAATCTTTTTCGAAAATGCCTCCCGTTCGGTTGGCTCTCTGCTCGGTATTGCTCGTGGATGTACTCATCCCTTATTTATTTATACTGGTCTGAAGAATTCACTTTTTTGTCATTCGATGACCGTGTGCGTCCAACGTAGTCTCAATTTTAAAAAGCCTTTTATTGACGAAACGCTGTAATTATAAAGTGCACCCTATCTCGAATATGTTCATAACCATATTACACAACAATAAATCGTAGCATTCACAATATATTATTACAATTTTTGCTATGAAAAATGTATTCTATACATATAATAAAATTGTAAACTAGCCGAATCTGTACATTAAATATTTTTTGGAAAACCTTATTGAAATAGACATTATTATGCATCACAGAAAAACTACTGGAGGGATTTTGATGAAATTTTTGGTATGGTGATAGCTGGTTATCCGGGTTAACATATAGGGTACTTTTTACCGCGGGAAATTATCTCATTTCTGAGAAAAAATACAAAAACTGCATTGTAAGAGTATACTAATATAAAAACCAAAGAATTTGCTTTTTGGTCATCTGAACGCGATCGGAGCCGCGGGCAATGCTAGTCAATTATATTTTTGTATATTTAAATTGAAACAAAGATATACCTACTTTTATAAAAGGTGATAAGTTAAGATGCGTTGTTTTGGGTTAGATATCATAAAATGACTTAAAGTAAGGAGTCATTAGCGGGATCGGTGCGGGTTTCTCTTATCGGAAATGATAAAACGAGCGTAGATTTAACCGCTCCCGTACTTTCCCTCGCGCCCGTTACACCTGCCGCGTAACCGCTGAGCGAGATGAAGCTGGTTGCTTAGTAATGTATAATTGAACTCTACCTACTATATTGCAATTTTAACTTTAATGAATATAATATATTACTGTGTTGCACTAATGGCTTACTATTATGTTCGTAACTTATGACTATGACCTAAATGAAAGCATTTAATATATCTAATAAAATAAAAAAAAAATACAAAAACTGCATTGTAAGAGTATACTAATATAAAAACCAAAGAATTTGCTTTTTGGTCATCTGAACGCGATCGGAGCCGCGGGCAATGCTAGTCAATTATATTTTTGTATATTTAAATTGAAACAAAGATATACCTACTTTTATAAAAGGTGATAAGTTAAGATGCGTTGTTTTGGGTTAGATATCATAAAATGACTTAAAGTAAGGAGTCATTAGCGGGATCGGTGCGGGTTTCTCTTATCGGAGATGATAAAACGAGCGTAGATTTAACCGCTCCCGTACTTTCCCTCGCGCCCGTTACACCTGCCGCGTAACCGCTGAGCGAGATGAAGCTGGTTCCTTAGTAATGTATAATTGAACTCTACCTACTATATTGCAATTTTAACTTTAATGAATATAATATATTACTGTGTTGCACTAATGGCTTACTACTATTATGTTCGTAACTTATGACTATGACCTAAATGAAAGCATTTAATATATCTAATAAATATATGATGATTAATTTATATGTAATAAAATAATAACTCAAATTATTTTATTTTAACTATATAAATGATATATACATACCTTGTTTAAAGATCGTTTATTTTATGATTTACTAACGATATGGGTTTTTGTTTCTGTGTTATAAAATATTATCAACGTTAACATTTTTATTGATTATACAATATAAGTACATACAGCGGGTACTTTAAATATCTTTTTATTTTTAATAGCATGGCCCTTAGTGGCTTTAATGTAAAACTCTAGCAGATTTTAGTACAAGCATTAAGTTAAAAATAAAAAAAATACTTTATGCAGTCTTTTAATCGAAGAACGGTTATATTATTCTCAATACTTAATCTATCTGGAGACTGTGGTGGTTTTAATTAAAAGATTAATAATGAAGCAATCGAGTTGCGAGGCAACGACCGGAGAGGATAAGCACGCCAGGCGGGCGCACGCAACCCTACGAGACATGCACGTCGCTCCGTTACGACACCTACACCAAATTTTTCCACATGCCCGAACAGCCGAGATAAGCAACGAACAACGCCAACGTGTTATTTATTAACGAACCGAATGATCGATAGTTGGACGCGACACCGGACGTCGACGTGGACGATCGCCTTTCGAAACACCGCCGCCGCTGCGCGCCGACACTTCGCTCACAACTCGTTGCGACCTCAGATAAAAATGACTCACGCTTCATTAAATTCAAAAATTGTTGTTTTTCCTTATTTATGATGGCACTAAAGTTAACAAATTACTTATATTGTTCATTTAAAACATTTAAATTCTTTGGATTGGCCGGTTCCTTTATATCCTCCACACCGGCTGTCATATCGATGACAATGAGAGTTGTAGGCTTAATTTTGATTTCAAGGCGGATTGCGATCGTAATAATTACTTATTATACAAAATTCATAAAAGTCAATCTGTTAAGACGTTTATTTTTATATTACAATTCATTATACCTAAATATATCTAATACAAAACACAGTTGTTTTGTATTCTGAGATAAAACTAATAAGATATTTTCTATCTGAGAGCATACATAGGTATAGCGATGTTGAAAAACGGTTCTAGATGAATAGTCGGAACGAATGTTTTGTTTGCATTGCACAGACTCCTTCAACCCTTCGCTCAGAGCCATCCGTTCCGCTCTTGCGTGCGTCACGTATTGGTGACAGCTGCACTTTCTAATCGCATCATACAATAGTCTGCCCAAACAAACAGACAAGGAGAAGGCAAATTGCGAAATATAAATGGCATAAACAATTGACAATAGGAGAAAGATTGATCAATTAATTCTCATAGATACTGACACGGATACGATAAAAATACATGTGTAAATTTTGAATTCTAAATTATAAAACTCAATTTCTAGACGTATGCTTATACGTTATCAGTTATAAACAAAGGTGATAGGAAATGATCAGAAATTCGAGGTTCATGTGCGCAGGGCAGGTTAGACCAGTCCCGATGGCCTCGCAAGGACCCCCAGCAAACCTGTTAGATTCGTTGCACGATTTTTACGTGCGCACCTACCGGAATCTCATTCACGTGGTGCAACCGCGCCGCCCGCACTCCGGAGCACCCGCTGCCAAGTTAACTCGTCAAATGACTCACGCTTTGGTTAGTTAAATGCCAGAAGCTGGCTTTACCAGTTTTCTGAACCAATTCACATAATATAGTATCTTTACTTAACATTCTTCAATGGTTGATGGCAATCCATTTTTGCATTGAAGCCTCTTCAAGGAAATTAAGAAAACGTCACACAGATATAAACATTTACAGAATGACTGTCAGTATGTATGCTATAAGATTAATAGTTTTGCGCAAATTAAAAACGCTTAATGAATATTGCAAAATAATTTAGAAGGTTGTAAATAGAGCTATAAACTTATAAATAACTCAATGATATACTAGTAAATATTGATATTTATTATCAGTTTCGTCAACTGAGTAATAAAGTGACCTCGATTTGCCAGAAAGAGCTAGTTTGAGTCTGGCCCAAGAATTTATCTTAAATAACTATAATAATTAAGACAACTTGAAATCTAGAACACACTATTTTCAAAATAACGGTGCTATCTTAAACAGTACCTATTGTTCTTATTAAAATAATAAAATAATTAATTATGACCTCCTGTGATATCGACAAACGACCAGGAACAGGAATCAGGTAGAACTACGATCCGGTAAAACTCGTCCGACGCGTGCTTCCAATATTTTTTATTTATTTGTCTGCAACGTCGGATACCGCTGGGTGTGTGACGTCAGACAACCTAAACTGGTTGGTGAGGGAACAGGGATTTGCCTCGTATCCTTCCGGTTCTGCAAGTGGTTTGGACCTGTTCTACATTCAGGTTGCGCAGAAACAAGTGACCCAAGCCATGTGACGTATGGCAGTCCAAAAAGCCTCTGATGTGGTCACATAAGAGGCTTCTTTCGAATTAGGCTCTTATAGGCGTCAGGCACAGACAGAGACGTTTGATAAATATTTGAACCAGCCACTCGGCTTGCTGAATCATGCTTGTGTGCAACAATTAGCGTACGTGTGATATCGTATCGTATTATGCGATGACGACCGCTGATGAACACCATCAAAGGTCAGTATCCGTACCAAAATGGTCACGCCTAATAACTGGTTCGTAAGATGTAGTCGATCCAGTTGTAAAACTACAGGCTTGGGATACCAGTATTTTACGTTTACTTCATTGATACGACAAACTCAATGAAAATTGACCTTTCATATCAAGCGTCATAATAGAGCATAGATATCTAAGTATCTTATGTGGTATTAAAATATAATTTATTAACAATAAAATGTATATAATCATTTACATACTGTAGAATTTTCAGTATTACGTATTTCGCGTAGAGATTAACAAAATGATACTGATTAGATTTTAAGTATATAAGTACCTATTAAATTTTATTAAAATAATCATATGATCCTTACAAATATTAAACATACAACTTTAATATACAATTTTTTTTATCCATTGATGTTTAATTCAGAAGAAATATTTAATTTAATTTTAGTTTTGTCTACAGGAGGCGTAAAGAAGTAATGGAAGTGAGTGGGGATTCTTGGCGCGCATACTACACTGGAGGAGCAGAACATCCACTGAGTGCAGCTACATCCGCTGTGTTAGGTGTCACTGATGATCCACAGCCTCAATCACTTGTCACTGAGTACTACAAGCTGCCTCCTCTAGCACAAGAAACTCACCTAAATTTGCATAAGGAAGTATGGCCGTAAGTATAAAGAATGATGAAGGTATATTTCTTATGTACTCTGAATCACAAATAACAAGATATACATAGCTTTAATCAAAACAATATTAATAATAATTAATTACTGTTCTCTACGGCAAATATAAATATATCAAGGTCAAAAAATAACAAAACATAAATATATTTTTTATAAATTTGATCATCGTCTAAATCGTTGTCGATTCTGGAAAATCAATGATCGATTCTCACGGCCGTATATTAACGTCGGGAGTTCGTGTATAGAGGTAATTATCATTATAATCGGCGAATATCGAAGCACTGTGAATACGGAATGAATTCGCGTAAAATTTATTTGTAAACTATGATAATATTGGCTCTGTTATTTTTTTATGAGAGTAGAGACGGGGTGCTATTTTACCGAGTCTCACGGCCGAGTACCCAGAGACAGAGGCCGCGTGGCTTCCGCCCTAAAGAAAGGTGTAAGAATAACAAATAATAAAAATGTTAATGTTCCACTCAATAAATCATAGGTGCTCATTTGAATACGTATAGCGGGATTATCGAAATAAGAGTTCGCAACTGCAACAAACCGTCTTGGCCCCTGCTTCCACTTCTGTATATATCATTTTTTAATTAGCATATTTTTTGCATTTTGATTAAAAATGTTATAGAGCTTTGATTATTTTTTATTCATAACTTTGATTTACCCAATGTTTTTATAAGGACTAAGTTATTATCGTTATTAAATAAAATATGTGAATCAAATATAATTTAGATAGTAAGTATATGAATTTCATAAAAACTAAAAAGCAATAATATGTACTCGTATGTGACCATAATATTCGTAATATTCAATCAAAATGTACATACATTTGTTGTGTTTTTATATCCCAAGTATATTTCAGAAATATGTCATATTTAAACTGTATAAATTGAATGTCGGAAGATATACGCAAAATTCCCATAGAAATGTGACCCTGATCAAATTATGCTCGCTCTTTGAAATATGTTGTTAACAGCATCCTTTGAATAGCGCCACAAAATGAGCAAACGCAGTGTCACATCCTCGCTCTGAATATACATAACACTAACTTTACACTGCATGTTACTTATTCTTTTATAAAAAAAATTACAAATGCATTCACAAATTTGATAACACAACATGTATTTAGTGAATGGAATTTTACCTCTTCTCAGTTTGAGCTATGATAATTTTATGATTATTTTATAATTACTGGAAATTGTGTTTGTTATAAGAACAAAAAAATACAATGATATAAGAAATATGAGAACATTTTATTATAAACAAATATATGTCCTCACTTTGACTCTATTGGAATTAATAGCTTAATGATATTTTGACTCGTCATGCCCGTCACTGTTTACGGGAGTGCATAAACACAAATACTGACAATAGACGGATGTGGCTGGAAGTCGCTCGCATTGACAAGGACGCCCAGGACTTGTCTCGGCACATTGTCGACACGCGTCCCACGCGCCTGCTCGACGTGAGCAGCTATTTCTCATTCATACATTCAAAATTATAACGAATGCTCCAACTCGCCCGCACCCATCCGTGAGCGCACTGTCGCCGCTCGCGTTTGTATGCTAATCCAATATATATAGTTCAGTGCCATAGCATCGTCAGTTTCGGTGCGCTGTGTTTGTTGTCTAAATCGCTCGTAATATTTGAATTGAATGCTCGATAGATGTAGAAATTAACTAGTTCGGTGTCTATATTATGTTGCCTTCAATTCGTAGGCGTAAAGATATTTCGTAAACGCACTACGAGGAACGCAGGCGTAACTCGCCACTAATGTATGTATAGAGCCGTAGAAATTATTAGTATATTGAGTGAAAATACACTAGCTATAACCATTAATAGATGTCGGTGGCTTTAATGTTAGCATTAAGATTAGCATAGAAATGTACCAGGATGGCCCTTGCAGAGCCTCGACCTCGCGACCCTGTCTCCGTCTATGCTCACAAGTAACGGGAAAACAGATTCTTTATATCAATATTGTTGCAAATTCTTATTGCATCCAAATAAATTATTATAAGGGTTGAACATTCGAGTACTAATAGTTAGTAATTATTGATTTTATAAACTTAATGAATCATGAATCTGAAATGTTAAATATAATATATTTTTTACGCATAATGGTTTTAGCACATTATCGTTTTAGCTCGTGGTTGCTTAGCAAAAAGTTGAGAGTTGAAACCGTGTGACCCATTTAGGACTAGAACCGGTTTCCTCTTGAAGATATATCTGTATTGTTAATGCCACAACAGTTAATACTATTCATTTCCCCTGAATACATGCGACCCTCTTACAAAAATAATGCGTAAAAAGACAGTAACATCGTTACGTTCCTAAGCCTTAGCCATCACATGGCGAAATATTAAATCGGGGCTTGACCATTCTTGACCATTCTTTATCTATGGTACATATCGTATTTAAATAACGGCAAGTTAAAATTAAAATTATTGTCGTTATAGTGGCCGTTGCGAATTATTACTTTCAGCGGTCCCCATCATTTTTATCAAATCCAGTTATAAGATATATACCTATAGTAGGTACTTAATAAAAATAATTACGTATTTGTTATTGACGATGTACGCAACCAGTATCTATATTAATGGTTGAGACAAATGGCGAAATCGTTTTCAATTAAAATTTTTGATAATGTATTAGTTCCGTGAGAAAAGTAGTAATAAACCTACATTTAGTCGAATGATATATTCAAATAGAATGGAATAACGTTTCTCACATCCGCTGCAAGCGCCTTCTTCATCTCGCTTTAATGCCCAATAGATTATAATCTATTCGTCAAACGATGTATAAACTGTCGTCGCCTTTGATATTAATCGCGATAAGCGCAACCCAAGTTTAACTGTGTATCTCATGATTCTGTGGAATAAGTAGTAATTATTTTTAATCGATATTATCTTAGCACGATAACAGAATATGTAGAATTGTACATACTGACATTTTAGCTTTAAACAAATATATATAACCTAGAAATGAAAAATATCTATATTGAAGAAAATTGAATTGAATTTAAATGATAAAAAGGAAATAAACTATTACGAATACAATATATTTATAATTAAACGTAATACCTTTTGAGCAGCGTATTTAAATGAATTAAATTAAAACACTTATACTTATTACACTCATCTAGATATACCTACCTACCACCTATCTGCAGAAAGTAGGAATTTTAAAAACCAAACTTTACATATCATTTTCTTCAAGAATAAAAGATAAAAAAAACCATACTGATTGATAATTTGAATAAGGACCATCAGGACATGGCTGTTGATTGATTTATTTTAGGAAACTTCTCAGGAGTCTTCTTTGTCGTTAGTGCGCTTAGAAGCGAATCTGTCGATGTAAGGTAACAATATATTTTGAATACATTTCAACTTGATAATTTTTCGTTGAGTTGTATCAATTCACCAAGTATACTCTACCCTCTATAAAGAGCATTGTCGATGTCTTGTCATGTGTGAAAGGGTGTTAAGTAAACATTGCAAATAATTATAATACGCTCGATGGAGAAGTATGTTCAGAATGTGCAGTGATTCTAAATTTTGCATTTACATGCAAATAGTAGTTCGGAAGCTTAGAATAGATTTTATTCAAACCATTAATACTGACAGTGTTATGGTAATTTTAAGAAACATGACACTGATATAAGATTATAGATACTGGAAGGTAAGTAGTTAGAAAAGTTGGGTTGATATCATTTTACCGGTCTTTTTACACGATTTACGATTAGAACTGCATCTTTTGTTTTATAATAAATCTGCGCTCAAAACTTTATTAAATTTTATGTACTTAGTTTAAGAAATTCCATAAGTGTTCAATTTTTATTTTCTTAATAGGTATAGGTATGTCATATATTTTAATTCTTAATAAACAACATATAGTTAATTGATTAATGATTATCACTTTGTATTTTGTAAGTCTCATCAATGTCAATAACTATTTTTGTCTAAGTATTTCAACAGTACACTCGTCATTTAGCATAACGCGCTTCACATCGTAGCGCTCCAGGGCAGTCAGGGCGCAAACAATGAACAAGCAATCGACATGTAAACAAACCATTGTACTACGAGCATATGAATAACGATATCTGCTCAACCTCACCTCTGGCACACTATGCTCGGATTAGTGTAAATTAAATTTGCATTTCTTCAAAAGTCTCTGTATACCTATTTTAAGAATGATCTTAAACTCTATAAAACTGTAACCAAATCGGTCTCAAGTTTAAATTATAACTGATATCAAAGTATATTTATTGTTTTAAATTATCTTATTGTTTATGTGATATAAGACTTATCACATGCTTTTGCGAAAGAAACACATGAATTGTGTACTGACGTGGCCGATGAAGCTAAAAGCTCACGGGAGGTCGCGTATCATGACCAATTCAGACGCATGAAATAGTGCCATGAGAGCTTCTTATCTAAAATAAACATCTGAACGCCAATGAAACATGTCTTCAATTATCATAAATCGGCGTATACTGACACCGAGCGATGAAAGCCGCGCCTCGCGCCACTTGCGGAGGTGGTTGCGTTCACTTACATTCGAACAAATATACCTATCTCTTCACATATATTTGTAATAATTTGAATAACTACAAATAAGAACATTATTTATTATATTAATCATTAATCTGTTATCTAAGACAAACATTACCATTTTAAAAGCATGAATATTGTACATAGGTCGTATTTTACAAGACAATATAATGTAATATGCCTGCCTAATAGGTAGGTACATGTATTATTGCCATATATCTAAGTTAAAAAAAAGTTATGATATATTAACATTTCAAAATTTATATTTTAAATATTTCTAGTATTTTATAGGAAAACTAGCGAAAACCCTCGCTTCGCTTGGGTTCGTCCCTAGGTTGCTCCCCCATATAATAAACTTTAATCCCCATTTTCAACCCCTTAAGGGATGATTTCCGGGATAAAAACCATCTTATGTCCTTCCCAGGGTCTCAAACTATCTTCTTACCAAATGTCATCTAAATCGGTTTAGTAGTTTCGGAGCTTATTCGGTACAAACAAACAAACAAAAAAAATCTTTCCTCTTTACAATATTAAATGAAAGATAGGCATTACAGTTATCTGAATGTGGGGTTCCACACACTATATCTATATTAAGGTATCCTACTGAATACAAATATTTATTTATATTTAAATGAAGTCAATGGAAATGTCTATAATGAAATTAATAAATTTTTTTCAGTAAGTAGGTACGATTTAATAGCTTTGTTTAGTCTCATGTATTATGTATGAGTTCTTGTTTAGTGGGCTAGTCTTTGACAGTTGATTATTATGATTTTTCTCCAATCCTGTTGTATTCATAAACTAATATTTCAGAGGATGTTAAGATCAGTTTTGGTTAATTATTATCTACTATTATTATTTTAGGCAACGTTTCACAATTTATTACTGCTTCTTCAGGCGATCTTTAAATAAAAACCTTAATCAGTACCTAACACAAACATTACAATATAAATATAAAAAGATGATTATATGAAATACTTAGATGCTTTTGATATTTAGTGTTGCCAATTTTATTGTTACATAGGTAACAATTTTTTTGGTTATTGATGATTGTGAGGTGAAGACTTTGTAATTTGTAAATCTATTGTAAGTAGACTGTAATCAGTGTGTAGGTACTTTTCGAACTTTTAAAATATCCCATTAAAAACAATTGTATTTTAAAATATTTTATGAAATTGTATCGTAATATCATTTGATAAGAATAGTTAGATACCTACTTATATATTATTTTTGAGTCCACACATGTGTCCACAGTTATTTTGGGTAGTATCGAAATAGGTCCTTAAAAAATTAAATAGGTCCTTAAAAGTATTAAGTAAATCCTGAAACAAGATAATTGCTTAAAATGTGGTACCTATTATTAAATTATTTTAACTTTTAATTTAATAATGAGTATTTTAATATACCTACCTACTTTAATGATAGATGATTCTATCATTAAAGTAAATAGGTATATTAAAATACAAAATTTGATTTTATATCAACTAGGTAATATTGTTAATAATTTATGTTAAAATGTATTTATGAATATGATGATTTTATTTTAAAGTGCTTATAAATATTAATTTGAGACGTATTATATGAGGCTTATATTTTAGAAGAACTGGATGTATATATGTATACTTTAAAAGTGAGAATATAGAGATAGTGTACAGACATTGCGCGCGTACAACGAGGTCGGTCGTAGAAATAGCTGCGCGCGCGCATTGTCGCCAATCACGCCTGTCTCCCCTCCGCAGGGCCGGCGGCGCACTGAAAGCGGCCAATGGCGCGCACGGGGCGGAGCTGGGCGAGCTGTCGGGCCTGCTTCACGCGGGCCTCGTGAAGCGCGAGCCCGAGGATCTCAGCCGCAAGGTGGTCGACGAGCCCGAGCCGCACGCGCTCAAGCCGCCGCGACACAAGGTGCGTCACACGTTCGTACGCCGCCGTCGCGCGCGCACGCACTCACACACTTTCCTTACCGGTTATTCATGTATTATTTATCGCAGTTAGCGTACGATGTGCCGAGCGTCTCGCTCGAGCCAATCTAACCGCGCCCGCCCGCGCCCTAAAACGGCCGGCCAGCGCTGCCCGCCTAGTGCATGTCGTAGGTGAAGGTGTTGCAGGACTACACAAACTCATCTGGATTTACTATTCTCGTATCGTGATTGTGCTATAAGCGAACGGACTTAGTGTACGTGAAGCTGATACTGTGTTTTGACGCGGTATGTACGCGTCGACTTTGCGAAGCGGACAATTGTCGTGGGAGAACGCGTGTAACAGACGCGTGTGTCCGCAGGTGGCGGTCGGCGAACCCGGCGAAGCAGCATCGCCGTCTCCGGTACCATCACGGGCGTCGTCTGCTGGCTCTCTTCTGCCGGACGCGGCAATGTATGCAGCGCAAATGTTTGCGCCCCCAGGCACGCCCAGCCCCACACCTTATGGCGAGCAATATCCACGCCAGACGGCATCCTTTGCTGGTGAACCTTACTATCGAGAGTACTTCGTCGGTGAAAGTTACCAGCAGAGAGCTGCACCACCATACAGTGATACTGAGCCAGCTTCAGCGTCGGCTTTCGGTGATCGATACTCGGCTCCTCGATACCATAGCAAGAGTGTGATCGCTGCTGCAGGACTTACAGTGGATCTACCCTCACCAGACAGCGGCATCGGAGCAGACGCTGTCACACCCCGTGATCACACCACCGTTCAGCAGGTCGGTTCTACGAGAGACAAGGGCGCGGGCGGGCGGGCTTCACCTTTGACACACATGCACACATTTAATACTTAACAATTGACTCCAAATAAGTACCAGACTTTATGTCACGAGGGTTTTAGGGAGACCTAAAGTATATGGTGAAGATGAGAGTACTACTAGCTTCTAAGGGAATGGGTACTTATTCTTACACAATTATCTTTTTAGAATGATTCATGAAACAATAATTTCAGTACTTACCAGGTTCATACGGTTGTCATCGTTATATGCCTATGAATACAGAATCTAATAAACTCGTGAATCATGCTAAAATTTACCAATTGTTTAAACTTATTTACTAAGCACTGAAGCCCTCCCGCGCTCTTATTTCTTTTGATTATGTTAATTTGTATTCTATATTTATGTGTACCAAGCAAATAATAACTATTTACTACAATGTTTATTGTTTGTTTAGTATACACTAACAAGTTGTGCTCTATATCTATATAATATTAAAAGTAAAAAAAAACATTTTAAATTACATAATATATACAGGCTGTAGTTGAAAAATATTTTTACTAAACTAAATTAGATAAATTTAAATATGAGTCACGATCCAAACATGGGAGTGATTAGTATTAAGCTAATTAGATTTCATTACATTAACATGAATCTAATAACTTATAAGTATTTTGCCTCTATTAGATAAACGATCATGATACAATATTCTCATTACTTTAGGATTGTATAATTATACTTATCTTCATGGATGCAATTGAGTACTTAGAAACAATAGTCGTGACGCAATAATGTTAGACATGACTTGAAATAGCTTGCATTAGCCTTTAAGTTATAAGTTAGCATATTTAAAATAACAAATTGACATGACTCCTGTATAATCAGTCTTGGAATTAAGATCGTTTGAAGGACTTGTCCTTTCAAGGTGTGGCGCTCACGAGCTGCGAGCTGTTGTCAATCTAATTATTTTATCTCTTATTGTGTTTGCAAATATACTGAATATCTACGAGTACTGCGTAATTGGATAGCAACTGGTCTTTCCTATTAGACCAGAAATAAACGAACTATTGCAAATAAACGAACTAAATCTTTCTATATAATTTTAATGACTTGCTTTTATTATTGATATTATATACATATAAAGTGTTGATGAGGCTATTTTTAACTTAGAAATAACCACGGACTTAAAATCTGCTAAAACAATTTACATATATTAAAGACAATTTATAGTTTTATTTATGCCGTGTAGCACTATAAAATTCTTATGACAACACATAAGGAGGTATCACATTCATCAAAACAACAGTTCTATTAATTATTGCAATAACGTCCGCTTTATTTTATTTAGTACTAAAATATTCCATTAATTAAATATATTTTTACAGAAGGATTATCAAAAAAAAAATTAAAAAAAATAACATTAATGAATATCTATAATGTTCGTATAAGCTGAATATCTCACATTTGACCTTCTAAGATAATTTTAATTATGTATAATATTTAGTAAAGGTATAATTAAAATGTAAATATAATAAATTATACTAAGAAAAACTTATACCTACTCAGAAAAAATATGATAAACAGTAATTTGTGAGATTCTTTAAAACAAATCAAATAAGCAAATTCGAAGGTTGAGCATTAAAAAGTTCCAACTTCCACCTCCTGGTTCAACGATCAGATCCAGATGCTTATAAAATTTTATATCGATACGTAAGTTAAAATACATAAAAATCAACTTCTAAGTGTTTATATCTAATAAAATCAGATTAATATAACAAAAAAATACCTGTTAAAATTGTCATCCATCAAAGCATACCTATCTTTTTATAGTATTTTTTTTAATTAGAGACGTTACTCATTTATGTTGTTTACTTTTGATGGTAATTAATTACCTATATGTAAATACAATAGTTGCGAACATTATACCAGTTCGTGTAGCGCCACACTTAAAAAATAAACTTTGATCGCTTCACTTCCTCTGTTTTTACTGAACGGTGAGACTACACTATTTTAAGATAATTATGCAAAGCTTAAAAACACGTGTTACAGTGATGGCCTCCGACGATTAAATTAAACTATATTTATGATTATAGTTTTATTAAATTAACAACTACAATTTATTTTGTAAAATTGAACCCATTTCAATTGAAAATTCATTTATTTTTGTAAATAGTTAAACAATTTCAATACTTATATAGATTTAAAGTAGCAATTAAATATGAAAATGAATAAATTAAAGACTCTAACTATTTTTTAATTGTAGGGATTATAAAATAAACCAGTGGATTAGCTTTTAAATCTCTGCTTTAAAACTAATTCATATTTCAAATAATTGTAATAAGTCTATAATAAATGTTAATATGTAAGACTTAACTGTAACAAAAATCTATCCAACATGCAGTTTACTACTGTATCGCCAGTACTTAATTCCATTATTTCGTAATAATATATATTAAAAAGTCTTTGTTATAACATAAATTGATAATAGACATTTTTGACGATTGGCCTAGTCGTTCGAGTACACAGTAATTTGCCAGCAACCCGGCGTGGGCGAGGACGGCAGAGGCACCCCAGCTGCACATCATTCTCCGGTACAACCACCCCGCACACGTCCTTGGCATGACTTCGGCCGCCAAAATGATGCAGACAAAATTCAAATCGCTAAATTGTAAGTATACTTTTGCTATCTTAATATGCTGGACATAAAACTGTAAATAGCTTAAACATAAAACTAAAAAACAGATATTGTAAAAACAGATTACAATTGTACAATTTGTTTTTTTAGCTCTTAACTAGGAGCCAAAATATATTTTTAGTGTCCTTTATCTACGTATTATGTAAGGCTTAGATATTTTCGTTTCTTCATTATTGAACAAAAAATATTCCCCCAAAAATTTTCCCAAATTAAATCCAATTTTACATATATTTTTAATATCACTTCTCATATGCTTACCTAGACCTGGAGGGTCTACTCTTTTACTACGAACATCCCACAGCTTGTTTGTCTGAGAGGTGCTAAGTTGAATTTCGTGATTGTTGAATACAACAGAAAGTGTGTGTTAATTGAAAATTTCCTTTTTTTAGAAGTTAATTGCCTTGTAACAAGACAGATATTTTTAGTGTGCAATAGTAAATAGAAATAATAGTATGCCTAAAACTACTATTCTAATACATTCTAGCAATTGTTTTGAAGAATTTGCATGTGATGTAGAGCTAATTATTAACAAGTATTTACGACATACCTTATAAAGTAACTAAATGCTTCTCAAATTCCAGCTTCTGATTCATTTATTCGTATATGTTGAACTTATTTACTTATACGACTTAATTAATTAATTCTACTGCTACCGTGAAAGCCTTATTGAAAGCCATGAAATATACCATGACCGCTTCATTAGAAGGAAATTTGGATGCCTTTAATTTTCATAATTATTTACGAACAACAATTTGATATTAAAAATAATGACACAAACATACAATTTGATTTATTATTTTAAAAGACTAAAACTTATACATATTTTTACTTTATCCAAAACACATTATTCATTCTAAGTACACATTTGTTTAGAATTTCTCTCAATAAAGAAGAAATATTACTGTCTAGTGATTTAATACACTATAGGAATCCAGTAACGATCGCTTTGCACGCACCTTATTAGGTAACTATTGAATAATGAAAATTATTTTATTTCCACGTTGACTCATACTAAGGAAGGCGTTATAAAATATGTAAGTATCGTAGTTTGACCAAATTAAGTAATTTTGTTAACATAAATTATATATTTAAGGAAAAATAGTTTATATTTAACTTTAACGAAATATTGAGCATTCATACAAAAAATACTACCAACTTAAAGAAATAAAACATATAGGCTAAATTTTAGCTTTATAAATCGATATAAGAATGTCTCGCTGAACGCGACGGAAACAGTCGTCAACACGATAAGTGCATTAGCATTATTATCTCGATAATTTACTTTATTGCTTACTTGTATTTGACCGAAAAAATTCAAGCGCTTCGGCGTATTATTTTATTCCATAGAGCTCATTCGTAGCTTACTACTAAAAATTTGTATCAAGACATCAACCACCAAACTTGTTTGTACTTTTATTTATCTACCGTTTAACTCGAGGAGTTCATTCAGACGTTGGTTGCTCCTAATATCTTTTATTTACATTTCTATGTTAAGTGTAACTTAATCAGCAGATGTATACATTTATAATTTTCAACTTAAAAAGCTCTCTAATTGAAGTAATGGAGAATTAATGATTACATTTTTATATCATGTAGGTATATTTTATAAGGGCACTCGATATAAACTCTATTGGCCTTATTTTTTACTAGAAACTCACCCTCTCTTCGCTCGGGTATCTATAGGTATCATATAGGTATATACATCCCGAGTGAAAAACAGACACAAATCTATCCCACGGGAACCGTAGATTTTTTCGAGATAAAAAGTAACCTTCGTGGTGTTCCAAACTATAATCTAACCCTGTACTAAATTTCATCTAGAAATGTTCAGCCGTTCTGGCGTGATTCAGTAACAAACATCCATGCATCCAAACTTTCGCAACTATAATATTAATAAATAAGTATTAATGGGATGGGGGATTATTGACAGATTCTAAGTGCAAAATACATACATACATTTATTTTTAAACTAACTTAGGAAAAATTATAAATAATATTTGACCTAAATTAATATAATTTGCAGAATTCAGTTCACAAGAAATTTTATCCGTAGATTTGATTTCTATAATTGATCATATAAACGTTTGCGTTATGCTTATTACGATCAGTTATAGCCAATATTGTGCTGATTTTTAATATTTATTTTCCATCATTAAATATTCTAAGTATACTACTGTACCACTTAAAAATATTATAGAGGCAAACTATTATTTGCTCATTTCACGATAATTACTTTTATTTGGCGCGATCAATATTATGCCTCTTATTAACGTGGATAACTTATAGTTAGCTCTTGTTAGACAATTACAATTAATTAATTTAAATTAAAAAGGTTACTAAGTACGAGAATTCTTAATTTTTTGAAAATGATAAATATGTACCAACTGATATAAATTATTGTATATAACCTATGTCCAATGTGGTTGCTAATGACCTTAGATGTTAAAAAGCGACCTAAAATAAATAAATAAATAATTACAAGTTTAAAACATAGTATTTATTCCGGCTCATACTGCGGGTCGGCAAATTAGTTAAAACCTTTCGTTTAAAATTAACATAAGCGTACATTTGGACGACATGAAAGAGTATTTTAGTAACTTTTCAAATACATTTTATTTTTACGGTCTTACAGTCTACATAATGCTTTATCAGTCTTGACATTCGTCTCAGAGCACAATGGTGCTTCAATTTACATCAGAGATTGATCCAACGGACATGCACACACTTTTATCCATATATAGTCTTAACATTTTTTTATAAATTACAACTCTAAAAACGCTGTTTTTATTCGGTTCGTTACATTAATTTCGAGTCATAATCAAATTCATCTAAAAGATTGACTAAAATATTAAAAAAAAAAATAAAAAAATAAAGAAAATGTTAAAAATATGAAGACATGAAGTTTTAAATTAATGTATTTTATTCATATAAAAAACGAATATATTTAAGTTCAAAAGTCATTGATTAAATACATAATAAGTAATATATGCAAATTCTTTTCAATTAATAGCTAGGCAAAGAAAAAAACAAGCATTTATCGTCTATATAATTTGACATTTTTTAAAATGCGTAGGTAGTTAATATATTCGTTTAAAAGCTAGGTATTGAATCGAAATATATCTTTGTAATAAGGTGTTTGTAGCACAAAGCGCTGTGGTCAATAATAGTATTGTAAGTATAAAGGGTCAGATTTATGCGCATCTAATTTGGAGGAGCACCGCATCGCGGACTCTGCGGGACGTCGTTGTCGCCTTATCACGGCTCGCGTTTTTATTGCCAGCACTTTGTTGTCGTGTTCCAAGGCTTTTTGTGCATTCATCAATTTCCGCGCCTCACCGATTGATTTATTCATGAAAGGTTCTCGTCTTCACGCAGGAAGTCTCTTTTTTCGGATGCTGCGCTGCTGAAATTTGTAATGAAGCTCATTCGAAAACAATACGTAATTTATTACTGAGTATGGGTTGATTGTATACTCTCTGGTGATAAAATATCTACTCGTTTTTATTAATAAAATAAATACTATTCTCTGTACGAGATTGCGCATAGCAATAAGGCCGCTTTTGCATGCCTATTTGTTGTTTTTCTTTTCATCTTCTGTATCTTTCTTGTGTGTGCAATATAGTATTTATCTTTCTATCTACTTATTTACCTACTTTTGATATAAAAATGTACTGCGAACAGTTATTGAGTTGAGATAGATTTAAATACGTACCTATATCAACATGCTCAATTTTGCATCACTTGCTTCTCATTTTCAATCATCCTTAGTTGCTTAGAAAATTATATTTTAGCTCCTATATATTCATTTCAAATTATAGAAATTACAATACCAAGTCACGTTACAAATGGAAATTGTGTTTGAAATAACTTGAGAGAATCAGATAGGCGAGAACCGTTGCGGCCGATCCGTCTATGTCGGTTGAGTTTGCATTACGCAGCCTTTATCGGTTCAAGCTCGGTTTAAATCGCCAGCATCAACAGGACTGTTTACCAAATTATTTTCAATAGGCTTTTAGCAACAGTCGGATCCCGAACCGAGTATTGGGTTAAACTCAACTCACAATCTACATTCCACATAGATTTATTGGCGGATTAAATATTCTATAACGATTTATAGCTTTTTATCTCGTTACATAAGTAAACGTCGTAAGTAAGAGTCGAAGTGAAGGCGTGCTACAATAGAGTGGTCTGATAATGACGTTTGCTATTTCCTGGTTTAGTTGTATATATTTGTAAAGGTGCGTGAATTTGTCCGGGCGTGGGTAGAGATCGGCGGCGACAAGATGTAGAGGCGCGCGTTGAATCGTGTCGCGGTGTCGCAAAACTCACGCGCGTGGCTGTTAACGAGCCGCAGCACGCAATGCATAAAGTTAAATTAGTTGGATTTTCCTTCCGTTGATCCCGTGCGCAGGAAATCACGAGAAAACGCCGTTTTTCATTGCGCACAACGAACTGGATCTCCACGCCTTTATGTAACTACACCGGTGACAAGCATTACTCGCTATGCAATTAAGATTTCCACTTTTTGCACATTTTTATTACTTTACTTCATGGAAACTTTACTGTTGAGACCATGTAGCTGTCAGATAACATGAAATAAGAAATCGTTTTTTTTTTGTAAGCTTTTAACAGTTACCACGCACTTTTAGGAGTTCTCCTAATTTAATACATAACGCTGCAAATTTTTATATGTATACCACATCCTACTTACATAATATTTATATTATGTTTACAATCTATTGTGTGAAAGTTGTTTAATTTGACAAATTTATTTACATTTTTGAATTTTTTCGTAGGTTTTCGCCTTATGGATTTAAATATCACCTGGAAACTGCAAGTAGCAGTTCACAACGACGTGAAGATGATCGTATAACTTATATCAATAAGGGCCAGTTTTATGGCATCACTTTGGAGTATATCCATGATCCGGACAAACCACTTAAGAATCAAACTGTTAAGGTAAGTAAACGACCGGATGCATTTCTAACATGATTAATGTAATTTTCAAAATGATGTATGTATACACATCTACCGTTTCCGTACATATTTACTATTATATGTACGTGTTATATATTAGAATTATTCTACGCTACTTTAAGTTAATTTTACATAAATATACAACTGTGAGAAAATTCAAAAAATAAGTTCGTATTAGGTATCTTTTAAATGTAGGTACTAACAACTAGAACATTCTTGCTATGAATAAATTTACTTATTTTATAGAGGAAATAGCACTAAAACTACGTAGTTGATAACAATGAAAGTTTTATCGATCTCCGCATGATTGCCGATATGATTTTTAGCGTTGAACAAGTTATTTATATCCATATTTCATTTATATACGTCTTCGTAATGCTTCAAGGTATTTTATTTAATTATTGTTATTAAATACAGAATCCTAATATTTTATATTTTAATTTAGTTATAAATTCATTTCAACATATGTCACGCAAAGTCTTGTTACAAGAAATTAATTATTTGTAATCAAGCCAGAGGTACAGGCGATTTGTATTTGTTTGATTTAGCTGCAGCATGCCGCCAGTTAACGGTTAGTGGCCGGATGTTTACTTCTCTCGGACCTTAGAAAGCTCAACCACGTACTTTAGAGACATGAGCAATCGTAAAACACGCACATACGCATATGTACGACTCTATTTAATTTGTATTTCCTTTTCAATGAAAATAAAATACATAAGATTATTGCGAACGTACAATGCAATTGATGTCCATTTAATATTTCTAAATACGATGGAGAATATAAAGTAGACTTTATTTTAAGTATATTTTTCTAGTGTTATTGTTATTGCTCGGTTTCAACAAGTTGCTGACCGCAAGATCCTTGTGTCGGTTTCATTTCACGCAGCTCCCGGTTAATGTTTCATGTTCTCCTTCGAAACCTTCACTTTTATGGTACTTTTTATAAAAAATACACTGGGAAATTTCAACCTGATATTTGTCTTAAGAGTTAATAAGTCCCTTTAAGCTGTCGTGTTTGTTTTTTGTTTTCAAAGTCTTCATCTTATTTGTGTGTAGGCTGTCTGTAACAACTATAGATATACCTTAGAGACATCTAACACCTCAGTCTCTCCCGTGACCATGATTGCTGTAAAGCATTCGAAACGTCAGGAACCAAAAATCTAAATAAATTCGCGAAAAAATCCGAAAAGATAGTTTTATTTAAAATGTCAAGTATTCGCGTAAATCTAAGAAAGTATTATGTCTTCATCTTACTTTAACCATAACAAGTGATATTAACGAAGTTTAAAAACAAAAAATGATATGTTAATTTGACTAGTATCAACATACTTCACTTTATTGCGAATAGCAATAGTGACGTTTATGGAACTTGATATATCTAGCGTGATGGGAACCTATTATTGCCATCTCATGGGAAAGCAATTAAATGTAGACAACAAAAGATAAATCATTATGGTTTATACCTTAAGATTTTTTATTGAGAAAATCGGAAATCCCCTTGCATTATTACTTCCCTGGAAAAAGACATAATAAACGAGATGATGGTACAATGAAATTGCATTAAAATAATAATTTGTTAGAATATCTTGAAAAACTAGAAAGTCAGGCTTCTCCGATCTGGTTAATCCTGTTTGGTTAATAGCAAAAATTAAACCGAGCATTGTTTAAAAACGGAAATACCTAGTTTTTTAATGATTAAGAGGAAAATTTAATTTTCCAATAGTACATAATGATGTAGTCCCTTTTGTCTTTAACATGTTATTGGTAAATGAGTAATATAAATATTATCTTATTTACATTCTTTGATCTTACTTGCAAGTACAGCAAAACATGCCTTATCTCTATTCAATGGGCTTAGATCGAAATAATCAGAAATACAATGCGACATACGTTTGAAGTTATTATTAAGGCAGTAAGTGGTCCGCGAGTCCGGCGCATTCAATACCACTTGGATAGATATAGAGCGCTTATCTCGCCGCGATCGAGTCCGCATTGTATGGCCGCGCCCGATAATTAAGACGACGCTTTTGACATTCGCCATATAGGAACACAATGACCGCCGCGAGAGCCTGGCCCGCTCCTCGGATAATATCGTTCTATAAACAATAACCTTACTGTGTTATGATAAAATAATTTCAATGCAGCAAACATCGTGTTTTCTTAACGAGCTGTTTTACCATTTTCAATGAGAAAAAAAAAACTTTTATAATATATTCTTATATTATATTGCACATATAACAAAATTGTAATTGGAATTATGATGAACAATGTTTTTTGAAATAACTATGTTTGTTAATTATTATGTTTATTTATTTATTTAGGGTAGCCAACAGAACATACCTACAGTTAAATCGTACAAAAATCTACATGTCTAAATTTTACATTTGGTAAACGTTGTTCTACTTAAAGGCTACCATGACAAGCGAAAACATAATGAGAGGTAACTGAGACTATATGTACATATAACTTTTTTAAATACACACATAATTTATATATAAACACCTATAACTGGAGTACAAACATTCATGCTCAACACACAAATGAATGCCCCCATCGGGACTCGAACCCGCGACCGCTGGCACAGCAAGTAGGGTCACTACAGACTGAGCCAAACGTGTCGTCAAAAAAAGCAGTAACTAAGGAGGCAATAAAAGCTAGATCAAGAGTTTTCATATTCTTCTGTTTCATTAATCGTTAACGAGTAGGCAGAACCTAAAAATAAATTTGAAGCCGAAACCACAAGCATTGGCTAGTTAAATAACAAGAATAGAAGACAAAATATCATAAGCTATAATAAAATTGGTTGAATATCTGAAATTATATATAATTTCTTTAATTAAAAACCTTAACAATCATTGCCAGGTATGTCTATAAAGCCAATTATGATCATTTGTTATACACCGTAGCTGACAGTTTAAAATTCACACGCGATGCGAATATGTTTTGCGTGCCATGAAACGGTTGAGGATAATATGAGAAAATTTAGTAAAAAGAGAGATTTGGTGTGAGAGCCGTGCGTGGCGAGACTGTAATTACAAGTTTGCATTGGCAGTTCAACAGAATTTTACCTTCTCGCGATATCATCAGCCTTGCGATTTCCGTCCACACCATACTCGTATTGGAAATTTTGCACCTAATTAAGTGTCATTTTGCTATATCAACTATATATATGCGACAGTCTAAATTCTCGATGAGATGTTCGCACGCTATATTTGTTCTAAGCTATTTGCATTTGAATTCGAAATGACAAATGACATTTTAAAGTAATCTCATTGTTCAGTGGAAATAATCTTATGCACATAAATAGATCTTTGTGAAGAATATCTGTTTTAAAAAGTGATCAATCATTCAATTTTGTAGCAATTAATCATCTTCATCATCCGCCGCACGGTTTCAGGTAGTTTTATAATTTACTAAAGGGTCTAAGGATTTGTACAACAATAGAGTATGCGGTATAATTATAGTATTTGGACCTATATTAAAGTTTTCCTCGTAAAAAATTAAAATAGTATATATTTCATGTTTAAATTATCTTTAAATGTAGAGTGGCACTCGAGTAATTGAAAGTATTTATAGTACAGTCATTTAAATGTGAAGGTATGCCATTAAATACCTTTTAAATATCTTTATACGTGAGTTTCTTTTTTCTAGATGTCTAATATTTCTTAATAATATAAAATTTTATAACATTAGCAGTTATAAACTCATTTTATAGGATTATTATGAATAAAATAAGTTTTTAATACTAGTGTATTCTAAAAATATATTAAATTCTAAAAATTCAAACGTTCTATATGAATAATTCACAATTTACTATGACTCTATCTTATATGACTTAAGCGACAATTTATTCATAATATTTTTGAAATGTAGTTTTATAGTGGTACCTACTGTACTCCCATCATTGTATTATTTATTATCGTTGTAAAGAAAACTGGAGTAACCAGCTCTGTCGTTGTTTTATTTGGTTTTTGCAATATTTTGCGATTTTAATGATTGCTCCGGTTAAACTTTTTAAGGTAATCGTTAATGATGCCTTTTACACTTAACATGTTACGCTTGATGAGGGATTATAACGGTTGGCATTCACAACGAACAGACCCTACCGATGTGCCTTTCGACCGACTTCGTGGACGTCGACAAGTGAAGGGCTGTCATATGAGACAGATTGAATATTTCTCACAGAGCGCACTCGTGTGGAATGTTTTTAATTCATCACTGAAAAAGTTCCACGATATAATGGTTCTTAAAAAAATTGTACACAAAAATTAGCATATACTTCGTTAATAGTTAGAAAATGCCAATCATGTTCGCAATCAATCACGTGCGGAGATATCTCAATTTGAGTTGCACCCTCATCCACTCCGCGCCGCACCCCGCTCTCTCGGCTCTGCCACAGAAAAACGTTAATGATTATAAATTGCACTTTTATGCAACAGAAAGCTCTTCCTAGCGGTGCTCCTTTATAAGTATAAGTTTTAAATAAGATATAACTGATTTCGATACATTGTTACCTCCAGAATTTAATTATCGCTTATTTATAACATTATTAATATTTACAAATAGTAGTAATATTAACGTTTGGAATATACAATATATTTTGTTTGTGATTTATATCATAGATATTTAAAGTACATTAAAGGATAAATTTTATAATTATAAATAATAAAAAAATATGTGTATCTACTCTATAGAAAGAGTGAGTAATGACCAGTCAGCTTGATCTTGAATAATGCACTTTTTATTACTTTCTTTATTTTGAAAGTAATTTAATTTTTTCGCTCATGCAATTTTGGACTTGCAATTTATTTGACACAAAAAAATTAAAGACCGTTGCCGCATTTAAATTTTTAATATAATATTTCATGACTTATATTTTCATTATTCCCATTGAGATTTGAGATAGTATACTTGCGTAGTTTTATCGCACACCTACGAGTCGGTATATGCTCGCGCCGCTCGACGGAGCGTGAATTTTCCAC